CAATCTTGGATGTAGGTCCTTGCCTTTTATGACTTTGAATACTTCTTTCCGGACCCTTCTTACCTGTAAGGTCTCTTGAGAAATCAACTGACAGTTTTATGGGAACTCGTTTGTAGGTAACTGTCTCCTTTTCTCTTAATGCCTTTAAGATTCTGTCATTTTTAATCTTAGCTAATGTAATCATGATGTGCCTTGGTGTGTTCCTCCTTGGTTCCAGCTTCTTTGGGACTCTGAGCTTCCTGAACTTCCTGGAAGTCTATTTCCTTTGCCAGATTGGGGAAGTTCTTTATTATTTGTCCAAATAAGTTTTTCACTTGTTGCTCTTCCTCTTCTCCTTCTGGCACCCCTATAATTCGGATGTTGGGATGTTTAAAGATGTCCTGGAGGTTCCCAAGCCTCTCTTCATTTTTTTGAATTCTTGTTTCTTCATTCTGTTCTGGTTGAATGTTTCTTTCTTTCTTCTGGTCCAAACCATTGATTTGAGTCCCAGTTTCCTTCCCATCACTGTTGGTTCCTGTACCTTTTCTTTCATTTCACTTTACATAGCCTTCACTTTCTCCTCTATTTGGTTTCATACTCAACCAATTCTGTGAGCATCCTGATTACCAGTGTTTTGAACTCTACATATGATAGGTTAGCTATCTCTTCATCACTTAGTTGTAAAAAATACAACTGTTCTTTGATCTGTTCTTTCATCTGGGCCATTTTTTTTTTGTCTTGGTATGTCTGTTACACATAAGGGATGAAGCCTTAGGTGTTCACCAGGGCGGGGCAACCTACAATGCTGTGTTGTGACGAGATACATGGGGGAGGGGTCCGAGAGGGAACAATGCCACTTGTTCTGCTTTCTGCCAGTTTTCAGCCACTTCCCCTGCTACCCACAAGCAAAGTGGGCCCTTCTGGTGTTGATTCCCAGCTGGGTGGGCTTGTGTACATTCTAGGACCCTGTGGGTCTCTCCAAGGAGCTCTCCTGTGAGGCTGGGAGTTTCTCCCGCTGGCACCTCAACCCCCACAGGTGTTTTCAGTCATAGGTTTCAGGCTTTATTTCTCTGTGCTGGGACCCTGGGTTGTGTGGTCTCTCTTGCTCCCTACTTGTTCCTCCAGTTGATCCGCATGCAATCTGGGACTGCCCAGTCCACAATCTGCCATCTTGCTGGGTCTGCCAGCCACCGCCTTGCCCACCCCGGTCCTCCAGCTGCTGCCTGTCTCTGTCCTTCCTACCGGTCTGGATGAATGTTTCTTCTTTAACTCCTTGGTTGTTGGACTTCCACACGGTTCCATTTTATGTCAGTTCTGGTTGTTTTTTATTTTAAAATTTGTTCTTGTCCTTCTTTTGGTTGTGCAAGGAGGCACAGTGTGTCTACCTGTTCCTCCATCTTGGCCAGATGTCCACGTGCTCATTCTTAAGCCAACTGCTGGCGAGAGCGTAGGCCAAGGTCCTCCTCCCTGCAGCACTAGGTCCCACAGAGGACCCCACATTTATCCCTTCATCTCCAGTACCTACAGTCTGTTTCCTTTTCAAGTTCCAACCCATTCATTTGCCTTACACATAGACAGTCTCCTCCCATCTTGAGGAAAAGATGAACTTGCATCCTTTCCAGCCATCATAATGTTCCTTCCTTCCATCAGAATTAGCTGGGCTCTTGGTTGGCAGAACTGGGAGGAAGTCACTGAGATGTGCAGGGGGCTCCAGATCCAGCTCTTTCCTCAGGATGAACAAAGGCTCAGGATGGCAGAACCAGGGCCAAGGAGGGGAGATGCCAGGGACACAAGATAGTTGACATAGACTCCCTGTGAGGCAGCGAGTTCTCCAGCGAGGGAATGGCTCAGGCAAAGGCTGACATCCCTTTCCAAGTCAACGTAGAAGGGCTTCTCCTGCTGGGAATCAGTTTGGAACAGGGCTGTTGATTGATTCATTTATTTATTAAACAAATATTTACTGAGCATCTATAATATACCAGGTACTGGGCTAAATACTGAGAATGCAGCAGTTAACAAGACAGATAAAACTGGGCACATTTGGCTTAGAATTTAGCAGGGGAGATGGACCCTAGGGGAATAATTACACACATCAATCTGTAGAATGGCCCCTAGAGTTGCTTCAGATCAAAGATTTATGATTCTGTATGTAAAGTGCTTGGCTTGGTGCATGGCCCATAGTAGGTGTTCAGTAAGTGGTACTACTATGGTTATTCCCTAACCACAGAAGCCTGTAGCAATGCTGTGTTCCTCCTCTCAGTGTCTGTCTTATTTGTTTCTCTGTTACTCATTTGCCATTCAGCCATGGTTAGTTATTCAACTTTTGTTTATCTTGTGACTGCAATAAACAATTTTCAGAAATTACAGTATAACCCACCAAATGATGCTGAACAGATTTAATAGGTTAAAAAAACAATTGTTCAATTGTTTAAATTCATCCACTTCCTCACCTTGTTGTGCAAACCAAGAACACAAATACTGAAAGGAGGATTCCTAACATGCTTATAGCAACTCCCTGCACATCAGCTATCTGGGCCGCAGCAGTCAGAGCAGAAACAGGGATATTACCACCTTTTCTGGCTGAGAAAAGGAAGGCTCAGAGCAGTGAAGTGGTTTGCCCAGTACCTGGGGAGGAGCTGCTTTAGTCTCCCTGTTTTCAAATAGCTTGACTTGAATCACAGCTGGAATACAGGTGGGAAACCGAGACTCAGGACGCTGCTGGGATTTTGCCAGAGGTCACGTGGCTAGTAAATGGTGCCTGAATCATCCTTTCCCAACACCCAGGGTGCCAGATGCCTCCCACTGACCAATGGGTGCTGTTAATAACTAAAGGGGGGGGGCGGGCAGGCAGGAGGCGGCTGGCTGGTGTGGCTCAGTGGATTGAGTGCCCGCCTGCAAACCAAAGGGACACTGGTTGGATTCCCAGTCGGGGTGCATGCCTGGGTTGTGGGCCAGGTCCCCAGTAGGGGGGAGAACGAGAGGCAACCACACATTGATGTTTCTCTCCCTCTTTCTCCTTCCCTTCCCCTCTCTCTAAAAATAAATAAATAAAATATTTAAAAAAAAGAATAACTAAAGGGGAGGTGATAGAAGTGGGGGTAGGGGAGTGGGGATGGACCGGAGGTCCTGCACATCACAGGCAGGGAGAGGGGACAGGTCAGAGAGGGGGGCTGGAGGTGATGGTCACAGGGCCTGCTGGCAAATAGCAAGCCTGAGGACTAACCGGTCCCCTAGATACAGCCCAGCACAGGTCCACAGTTAGCTCTGGGATCCTGTTAAACTTCCAGACCCTAGCCATTCCTTTATCTCCCTCCCTTCCATAGGCCTACTCCCCAACACCCCCCCACCCCCCCCCCCGCTTTTTTTGTTGCCTTCTGCATCCTGTGCTCCTAGCGCCTCCATGTGGCTAATAGTATCCACTGCAGCCTTGACCGCTCCTGTTCCTGGGAAAATCCCAGAGATCTTAGCGGAGATGGAAAGACCCTTACAGACCCTTTTATAGATCATTTCCACTATTCCCAGTGGAATTCTAGCTTCCAGGCCAGCTTCCTAAATAGGCTGTCATTGAGTGAATCTTTGAGTAGGAGTGACGCGTGTGATTCAGGGTAGGGAATGACCCCCATCAAGCATGAAGTTGTTTTTAGAGCCAGCAATGTGAACGAAATAAAAGGAGGTACAGTTTGGTGCTTAAGCACATAACTCTGGAGACAGATGGAATTGGATGAACACTGCAACTTCACCTCACTGTTTCCTCGTCCTCCAATGGGGATAAAAATAGTAACCTGACTACCTTGTAGCAGACGTGATAGTGATGGTATGCAGCGCTGCGGGGAAAGCTGGTGCCGGGCACACCGTTTGCAAACACTAACTCAAAATGGAGCACAGACTTAAATGTAAGAAGTAAAATCATAAAACTTTTGGGAGAAAACATCGGAGAGAATCTTTGTGATCTAGGTTAGGCAAGACTTCTTTGATGCAACACCAAAAGCATGATGTTTCAAAAATACTGATCAATTGGAGTTAATAAAAATCAAGAACTTCTGCTCTCAAAAGACGATTTAAAAGAATGGGAGGTCAAGCCACAGTGCTGAGGAAAATATTTGTAAATCACGTATTTGGTAAAGCACTTGTATGGGAAACATACGAAGTACTGTCAATAATTTAGAAAACAAACCAAATAAGAAATGGGGAAATGGAGGTGAGCAGATACTTCATCCTTAAAGATATGTGGGTGGCAAATAAGCTATAAAAATATGTTCAACATCATTAGTCATTAAAGAAATGCTAATTAGAACCACAATGAGATACCATTAGACACCTAGAGCCTCCGAAATCCGATTTATGTGAGGATTAAATGGTGTAACGTCTGTGAAGCCTCTTGTCATAATATGACACGTAATAGACTTTCAATAAATGTAGCTGTAATTAGTAGTTAATAAACAATATGCTGTTACAGGCATTGACGGCAGAATAAGGGACTACTTTGGTGATATAATCTGCCCCCTTGCGGTAAGAGCTCTGGAGTCCAGTAAATTCCTCTTCAGTTTTCACTGGCAGTGTGACTTTGAGCACATCTCCTAACTTCTCTGGCCTGGGTTCTCGTCTGTAAAGTGGGAGAATGTAATCCAAGTCTCAAGGTTTGCTCTGAAGATTAAATACATAAATGTTTATTATATATTCTGTTCTTTCCTCCCAATCTAATGGCGGAGACATCGAACAACCCATCAAACAACTCAATAACCCCAGGAAATCAACGGGACCGCGATTAGGGAGACGCAGGCAAGTCAGTTATGGTCGGTGCATCTTGTGTGTAAAGCGAGCGGATAAAGAAGCTCTAAGCGACTGCTTAGCTCCAGCAAAACACTTTCCACATCGAGTTCGGAGGCCCGCTCCAACCGGACCCGACCCCGACCCAGGCCCGGACCACAGCCCCGCCCCGCCCCCGCCCCGCCCCCCGCCTCGCCTCGCCCCGCCCCGCCCTGCCCCGCCTCTCCTCGCCCGGCCTGGCCTCTGGCAATACAGCATTCCGCTTTTCTCCGTCCCCCCCCCTTCCTGTTTGGCGCACGTCATCGCTTGGCGACCGGATGCGGGTTTCCGGGAAAGGCCTTGGGGAGTGTTGTCTTGTGTGGAGGGAGGTCGAGGGCGCTGTGTGGTTGGGGTCGCAGGTCCTGACCTCGGCGTACCCTCTTGCACGCCGCGCTTGGCTCAGCCATGGAGAGCGGAGGACGCCCCTCGCTGGTCCAGTTCATCCTTCTGGGCAGCAGCTCTGTCGTCACCGCCGTCCTGTACACGGTTTACCGGCAGAAGGCCCGGGACGCCCAAGAACTCAAGGTCAGTTCTGGAGCTGGCTTGGCCTCAGTCGGGTCATCTCTGCCCCCGGCAGTGGTGGGCACACTGTTCGCCTTGGGCCGCTCCAGCGCCGGAGCGCTACCCAAAAGAGGAAATAGGCCAAGGGAGGGGGTCACCCGCTGGAGGAACTGGGATCAGAATTCAGGCCTCGTCCTAATTGCTTCATGGGGCTTCTTCTGACAAGTCCCTCCCATGACTCAGAATGAATTTTGACTTCAATACTTTATTCGACTAATATATGTATTGAACACTTGCTAAGCTGCAGGTACGGGGGATGTCGCATTGGTAGAACAGACAAAAGGCCCTGTCCTCATGGAGATTTCGTTCTGCTTCAGCAGACAGACGAGGAACAAATAAATCAGATGGTATGCCAGATGGGGACAAGCACTGCCGAGTGATGTAGGCAGGAGGGGAACTGGAACGCTGGAGAAAGAGAGGTGTGCTATTTTAAAGAAAGGGGCGTTTGAACAGAGCCCAAGAGGAGATGAGGGAGACCCCGCGGGTGTCTCCGGGAAGAGCAGTGCCTGCTGCACAGCGGGTCCGAGTGCTCGTTTATTCGTGGGATACACACAGGGTGTTCCTCTGTATCAGGCACTGTTCTCGGCCCCAGGGGGCCAGCAGTGAGCTGGACAAACAGGGTTCGAACTTTCCTAGAGTCTAATGGTCCAGTGGAGGGAGACAAACAGTAAAACAAGTAAATAAACGGCATTAGTCGTTATCTTTTAAAGTGAACTTCACAGTGTAGGAGGCTTATTGTATTGGCCTTGGTCTTGTCATTGCCTATGGAGCAGTGGCTTCATCTTAGATGGACCTTAATAGGTACCCAGTGTCTCCTCTCCTCGCCAAGGGTTACTTATCTGGCATCCTTTAAGACTTGATGGGATTACCCTGAAAGTGGGAACTGTTCTTCATCCCTGAATCCCTAGCGCCCAGCACTGTGCCTGGAACATCGATGCTCAGGAAGTGTTTATGAATTGTATTTTCTCCCATTTTTGATACAGCAGTAGCAGGCTTGCTTGGTTCCCAAGCACAGCGGCTTGGACACTCTGAATTGAGGTGGGGGGCAGGGTGGGAGGAGGAGGGGTTGTTAAAGGAAGAAGGCAGCAGTCATGGCCATGCTCACCCGATTGTGAGAGGGAAGAAAGAGAAACTGAAAGTAGAATAGTGTTTGGCACCAGCTAGCTGAGCCTCGCCCTGGAAAGCTAAGGCACTCCTTTCTGATAGTGTGTAAGGCAGAGTGTGAATTGTTAAAGGCAAGTGGTAGTAATACCTGTTACTCCTCCAGCCCCTACCAAGTGCCAGGAACTCATTTAGGCGCTTTACACATAAGCCCTCCGGATGCGTGGTTCTGTATTGTCAAGAAGAGATTGAATTATGTTCAGTTTATGGTATGCAAGTTGATTCTTAATTTTCATTAAAAAAATGAGGATGAGAAGGAGTGTATGTTTCCATTAACTGGAGAAAGATTGTGTGTGGCCTCGCCACTTTGTAGATGGCAGAGGGAGGCCCTACCCTGTGCTTGTTTGTTAAAACTTCTGGGACACAGCTTTGGAGTCCGATTCTCCTGTGGTCTCCTTCCTGCCGGATTTCCTCATTCTGTTTACATGGAAAAAGTAAACTGTGTTCTTTTTTTTTTTGCCTGTTACGTTTGATCGAACATGTTAGTATTCAACAGTCAGTTTAATACGTTATTTCTATTTAGGGAGCTAAAAGAATCCACCTGGGTGAAGACTTGAAGAGTATCCTTTCAGAAGCCCCAGGAAAATGTGTGCCTTATGCTGTCATTGAAGGTATGTTTACTTACTGATAAAAGGAAAAGTAACTTCCTGTTCTACAAGTTTGTTCTTGGCCGATATTCAGGGTCTTTTGTATCCTTGGAGCCGTGGTCCAGAACTTGGACTTTGGGGTCAGAAAGAGCTGGATCATTGCAGTGTGACCTTGCGGAAATTGCCCAGCCTTTCTGGACCTCTGTCGCCCCAGCTCTAAAATAGTTCCTACCTCACAGGGCTGTGGTTGAGCCTGGAAGAGTGCCCATGGAACATAACTTAGGGGGATGACATTTTCACGGTTTTGATTGATGAAACTAGCTCAAACTAAAAACTTAATTTATCTTCAAGGGAAGGGCGAAACAGTTCTTCAGGAGTAAAATAATTTGTTTCTGTGTAGGAGCTGTTCGGGCTGTTAAAGAAACGCTTAACAGCCAGTTTGTGGAAAATTGCAAGGGCGTGATCCAGCGGCTGACGCTTCAGGAACACAAGATGGTGTGGAACCGGACCACCCACCTCTGGTATGTGGCCTCTGTCTGCGGGCCCCGGCTTGGCTGTCAGCTTCTCCAGGTTCTTAATTCTGATAATATTCTTTTAAAAAATATTTTATTTATTCATTCATTTTTAGAGACAGGGGAAGGGGGAGAGAGAGGGAGAGAAACATCAATGTGTGGTTGCCTCGCACACCCCCTACTGGGGACCTGGGCTGTGACCCAGGTGTGTGCCTTGACTGGGAATTGAACCCGCCACCTTTCCGTTCACAGGCTGGCATTCAACCCAGTGAGCTACACCAGCAAGGGCTGATAATGATTCATTTTTTAAAAAACTTTATTGATTGACTTTATTTAGAGAGAGAGGCACTGATTTGTTGTTGTATTTATATATGGATTTATTGGCTTTCTCTTGTATGTGCCCTAAACAGGGATCGAACCTGTAACCTTGGCATACTGGGACGATGCCCTAACCAACTGAGATACCCAGCCAGGGCTGATTATATTCCTGTGTGTGGCCTGAGGACCTCTGAACTCAGAGTCACTGAGGCATTGTGCAAATGCAGATCCCTGGGCTTCATTCCAGACCCACCAAACCAGAATTTCCAGAATAGGGGGCCTGGAATCTGTATGGCTGATAAAGTGTGAAACTACCGATTTACGGCATGGATTAATGATTTCAATATTTATTAAAATAATTTTGTGGATTATTTAGCTGTTTAGTAGAGTACCATATTTCTAAATGATCTTAGTGGGGTTTTGTTTTGTATTTATATTTTTATTTTGGTAAGAACACAGAACACGAGATGTACCCTTTCAGTAAATTTTTAAGTGCAACAGTACAGTATTGTCAGTTATAGGCACAAAGTTGTGCAGCAGACCTGGAGAATTGGTTCATCTCGTGTAACTGAAACCTGATACTCATTCAGCAGCAGCTCCCCGCTTCCTCCCCCCCTCCCCCGCCACCTCCTGACCCTGGCTGCTGCCATTTTCCCCTCTGTTTCCTCGAGTTTGACTGTTTTAGATGTCTCATATAAATGGAATTATGCCCATATTTGTCCTGCTGTGAGCTGCTGAGGTTGCTTAGTACAGTGCCCTCCTGGTTTATCCATCTTGTTGCCTGTGGCAGGATTTCCTTCTTTTTATGCCGACTAGTGTTCCAGTATGTACATACATGTGTGTCGGTGACATTTCTTCATCCATGTGTCCATTGACGGACACTTACTTATGCGGACTTCGGCCTGTGGTGTCCATGGTGTTGTGGACGCCATGAACAAATTCATACGGACTACAGAAGTCCTGTGCAGAAAAAGGGACGGCATGGCGCTCTCTGAGTGAGAGAGAGGGCTCCGACCCCTGCCTGGACAGGCTTTTGTTGCTTTTCTTGGAGCATTACATCAAGAAAGGTCCTCATTCATTTTGCACAAGTTTGCTGTAGGTGATTACCTTTTACAGGTAACAAAGAAAAGAATGTTGCAAATGCAAGGGGAAAAGTGGTCGAACTGGTTACACTCCATCCTTGGGAGGGTCACCACAGACTTTAGGAAGCCATTTTAATGACATGCAGTAAACATTTTTCTGCCTCAATTCAGGGTGAGGGAGTTTTAGCAAAAGCAAGCCTCAAAGCAGCCTGGATATAATGCAGGCCTGGTTCCCCATGGGAAAGCTGATCTGCCGGCCAGGCTCCTGTGTGCTGCCTCGCGCCTGTCTGTTTTCCGAACCAGGGCTGAGCTACAGTCGCCACTGCCACGCAGACCTGTTCCCTGTAACGTACATGGTCTCCATGTCTTGGCTGTTGGGAACTGTGCTGCAGTGAACTTGGGTGCAGATCTCTGTTCAAGAACCTGATTTCAGTTCGGTACCCAAAAGTGAGATTGCTGGAGCATATGGTAGTTCTCTTTTGAATTTTTTAAAGAATTGGATATTTATTGTAAAGTGGAAAAGGAAATAAATAGAGGTGCTCTATGCTGGTATTTGTTGCCCTCTGACACCACGTGAGAACCCAAGGTGCTTGCATAATGATGATTTCTGTTGTGCTCTTTTCTTTCCCTCCTGTCCACCTTTGCCTGGGCATGTGGTGTGTGCTGTCCTTTATTTTACCTGAGTTCTCTTATTGTTTTAGGAATGACTATTCCAAGATCATTCACCAGAGGACCAACACAGTGCCCTTTGACCTGGTGCCCCACGAGGACAGCGTGGATGTGGCCGTGCGAGTGCTGAAGCCCCTGGACTCCATGGACCTGGGCCTGGACACCGTGTACGAGAAGTTCCACCCCTCCGTCCAGTCCTTCACGGATGTCATCGGCCACTACATCAGCGGGGAGCGACCCAAAGGCATCCAGGAGACCGAGGAGATGCTGAAGATCGGGGCCACCCTCACGGGGGTGGGCGAGCTGGTCCTGGACAACAACTCCATCCGCCTGCAGCCCCCCAAGCAGGGCCTGCAGTACTACCTGAGCAGCCAGGACTTTGACAGCCTGCTGCAGCGGCAGGAGTCGAGCGCCAGGCTCTGGAAGGTCCTGATGCTGGTGTTCGGCTTCGCCACGTGTGCCACCCTCTTCTTCATCCTCCGAAAGCAGTATCTGCAGTGGCAGGAGCGCCTGCGCCTCAGGCAGATGGAGAAGGAGTTCCGGGAGCGGGAGGCCCAGCTGCTGAGCCGCGCCGCGCCCGAGGACAGGGAGAGCCTGAAGAGCACCTGCGTGGTGTGCCTGAGCAGCCCCAAGGCCTGCGCCTTCCTGGAGTGCGGGCACGTCTGCTCCTGCGCCGAGTGCTACCAGTCCTTGCCAGAGCCCAAGAAGTGCCCCATCTGCAGGCAGGAGATCGCCCGGGTGGTTCCCTTGTACAACAGCTAACTGTGGGTCTTGCAGCCCCACAGTTCCACACAAAAGGAACCCTCTCCTTTTTAGGGTTTTTATCGCTAGGCCTTAGAGAAGCAGTGGTGGGGATGGCCGTGTGATGGAGGGGGGGAGGGACGGGGGGAGCTGTCCAGACCCCGCAGCCCTCGCAGTGGAGGGAAATTTGCCTTTCTGGCCTGAGAGGGGACCCTTTCCAGCACAGCGGGCGCCTCAGAGCCCCACTGCAGGACCCGGTGAGTGCGTGTGTGACCGAGGACGCCTCATCGCTTAAGCACCAAAGCCAGTGACCTTCAGCTCTTTCATTCCTGTGTCTTCAGGTCCTTTCCGGTGAAGTGTGCGTTCTCGTGGACTTGAGCCTTGAAGGACTCAGCCAGAGGGGAGGCAAAGGTGGGCGCTCTGCGTGGTATGTGCCCCGCAGAGCTGCCTCTGAAGAAAGAGACTGTCTGGTCTTTCTCGCCTTTGCTTACATCCCAGGGAAAAGCTGTCAGCATGGATATATCACTTGTGTCCCTGTACCTGCTTGCCTCCTAAGTGTGTGCACGCACATGTCAGGACAGAAAGTGAAATCCAGCATCTGCCTTCTTTCGAAGAGGACGGAACTCTGACCAGTGGAGTGCAGAGTGGTCACGGGAAAGGACAGTTGGAGCAGTGGTCAGTTCAGCAGTCCCTTGGCTGTAGCCCTCCTGGTGTCTCCACTGCCCCGCAGGGAGGGCCGCCAGAGCAGGCCTGCCACCCATATCTGGAGCTCTGATGCCTGCGGGGGCTGCCAGGTGACCCTGGTTTTCCCTGCCTGAGGTGAGCTGGGAAGCACTCACATCCCACTGTGAGCAATGAAGCTGCCACCACCTGGGCCTTCTGGCTGGCTCAGCCCCTCTCCAAGGCTCTCACCAAGGAAAAGTCACCAGCCAGCATCCTGTGCACAGAGCCTCTCCTGGCTCCCCACTCCCCTGGTAAAAAGTCAAAGTCGACATCCCCCCGGGGGGATCCCATCGCCCCTTCCTTCATTTCTGTTCGCCCCTCCTGCCCTGCTTGAGTTTGTGAGACAAGTGGGGGAACCTCGCTTGCCACTTGAGTAGTCCTCTCTCTCTTCCCTGGTTCTGAATGTCCATTCTCCCCAACCCTCCTTTGTGCGGGGAGGTGGGGTGCTCTCAGGGGGCCGACACCAGTTCTATGCAGTGTCCAGTGTGGACAGCAGAAATTAAATTTGCTACAACCAAGTGTTAGCCTGTTGCTTTGTCCATAAGAGTTCCTCCGTTAGGCTGAGGCCCCCCTTGGGGAATCGAATGAACTGGGGACCTTGTCTCTTCCTTGCCTGGGTTTGGGACTCCCATGGATCCGGTGCAGCCTAGTGATGCTGAGGCCTGGGTGGGGAGGAGTCTCTGGCCAGCCCCCAGCAGCCACCCTGGAGGGTCCTGGCCTCCTGGAGGCCGGCGTCTAGCCTGAAGGAATCTGTTCTGACATCCGGAATAGCTGGTTAGTGAGAGAACAGAGTGGGGTGGGGTGTGGTGTTGGGGAACAGCAGGGAGGAAACGAGCATTTCCCCACCACCACCATGTGCTCCTTTGAACTCTGACTTAATCCTCCCAAAACCGCTGTTGGCTCACGGATCTCCATTTTCCAGATGAGGAAGGAAGCCCAGGGGGGAAGTTCACTGGCCAAGGGCACAATTCTAGTAAGTGCTGGGTCCGACTTTAAACTCCGAGTTGTTTCCAAAGCCCTCATCCAGCACCCTGCTGGCCAGAGGAGGGTGGGAGGGGTGCCGACTAATTCCCTCAGTGCTCTCAGGAGCGTCCCACAAAATATATGTTCCCCGAGTTACAAGAAGGTCGCTGCTGTGAAGGAAGAGGCAGAAGTGGTGAGAGCCCACTTGCCAGGGCCGAGTGAGGTGTCGAGACCCTGGTTTTACCCAGCAGTGCCTTGGGGGTGGGGGGCAGGGCAGGGTGAGAGGGTGGCCTGTGGGAATGACCCCTGAGCACCTTGGGAGCATCTGGCCCCTTTGCCTCATCCAGTCCACATTGCCTCGTCCTCTCTGCAGCTGCTGTGTAAGAGGTCAGGGTGTTAGTAGAGGATGTAAACTGCCTGAGAGAGTGTGAGTGGGTGTTGTAATCTATCAGAGCTCAGCCCTTAGCGTAGATTTCATCAGTAGATCTGATCACAGTGGTGGAGAAGGGAAGCCCGCCCGCCAGGTCAGCCCTGATGCCCGGTCACCTGCATACTGGGCGGCCAGCATCGGGCAGGGGTCACCTTGAACTGAATAGCTGCTCCCGGTGGGTGTTCGGATGTTGGTGCTCAGCACTTCATGTGCATTAATGCCTGGGCTGCAGCAAAGTGCGTATTGTTATCCTCCCCCCTTTACATCTGAGAAAAAGTGGGGCCTGGTGGGGTGACTTTTTCCCTGCAGTCACACGCTGTGAGCCCGATGACGTGAAATTCCCTGTGGCATTGTTTCTCCAAGACTGGCTGGCCCCTGCGCCAGCTGACTCAGTGGGTTGGAGGGTCCCCTGCACCAAGAGGTTGCAGGTTTGACCCCTGGTGGGGGGGTGCACGTGGGAGGTAACTGGTTGTTCTCACATGATGTTTCTCTTTCCCTCTCTCTCTAAAATTCAATAAACACGTCCTGAGGGAGGACTTAAAAAAAGACATGGCAAACAGCAGCGGTTGTATTACTTGTTTTACAGGTTCTGTGATTTGCTCAAGGCTACCAAGGTCTCACTCTAAAACCTACGCCCTTGGTCTTTTGATCACATTAAGCCTGTTAGGCTAAGAAAGAAAGTTGTTCAACAAATACCAACTGGCCAGTGCCCTGTCACTGGCTTTTTCAGCCGGTCACCCAACACAAGCCACCGGTGACACCCTGGTTTCACGGGCTGCAGGCAGACTTTCCACAGCTTATCCTGGGGGAGTGGGAGCTGGGAGGCAGCTTTGGAACCCTAGTTCATTCAGCGTTACGATGAAAAGAAGCAAACAACATGATGAACTTGGCCAACCAGACCCCCTTGATTTACAGCCCTGGTCCTAGGCCACGCACACCCCAGCCGGGTGGCAGGTGATCCCACGGGCCTCAGGAATGCTCCAAGAAGGTTTCATGTCATTGAGGGGCATTCATTCATCTAACAAACATTTGCTAGCATTCTGTGCCTAGAGATGCAAAAATGAGTAAGACAGGGTCTGCGTTCACAGGGTCGGGGTTGTCTTTGTGTCCTATTGTGCAGGTGTGGCGACTGAGTTTGTTGGTACATTTGTGGTTCACAGGATAGGGTAGCTGGGAGGGGCTTTTGAGACCGGCCTGGTTGGAGCAGAGTCCCTGACTATTCAAAATACACCAACCAAGGGCGGTAGGTTGTGGCTGGAGGAGAGCCAGGCAGAGAACACACACAGCACAGAACCTGGAATGGCCTAATTAAAACACCACTCTGACCTTGTCCCTTTGCTTAAAGCCCTTCCCCAGGCTCCCTGTCATCTCCAGGCCCGAGCTCTGGCTCCTCCATGACACGCGACCCCTGTGGCCCAGCCCTGACCCCCTCTCCAAGCCTCTTCTTGCATCCCTCCTGTGTCACGTGTGTGGCTGCAGCAGCACAGCTGTTGTGTCCCTAAACATGCCACGCTGGTCCTGCACCTCTAACACTGCCTCACCCTTTCAAACTCAGCTGTTCCTCCTGCAGAAAACCTTGCCTGACCCTCCCCACCTAGGTAGATGCCTCACCTGAGAGTATGTAATACAGCCTTCCATTCCTGTTTTTTTTAAAGGTTTTATTCATATTTTTAGAGAGAGGGGAAGGGAGGGAGAGAGAGAGGGAGAGAAACATCAATACATGAGAGAAACGTCGAAACGTGGCCTCTTGCATGCCCCCAACAGAGAACCTGGCCCGCAACCCAGGCAGGTGCCCTGACCAGGAATCGACCCCGTGACCCTCTGTTTTGCAGGATGATGTCCAAGCCCCTGAGCCACACCAGTCAGAGCCTATTCCTGCTCTTAACCATATTGCTCATGTCTAGGGCAGAAAACTGTATCTTATTCTCCAGGACAATTTTTAGGTTGTCACTATGCACTAACTGGAGCTTTTTAACTTAGTGCTTGCTCTTTGCTAGGTACCTGCTAAGTGCTGTACATGACTGATACTTAATTCTCAGCCTGAGGCAGGCACCTGTATCACTCTTACTGTAGAGAAAAGATCAAGGCCCAGAGAGGTCGAGTGTTGCCCAGGCACATGCGAGAGACACAATTTGAGCCCAGGCAATCTGACTCCAGAGTCCAAGCTCTTAACCACCGGATCTACATGTAATAAATGAATAAACTAGCAAATGAAATAGATTGGGGGGTGGCAAACAATCCTGGAAGGCCGCCTGTGGGAGTTGGTTTTTGGGTCATGACTTGGTTCTCAGGAGTGAGTGAAGGACCCCTCTTAGGGTGGAGGCCGAGATGGATAGATTGTGCAGAGAAACATCCATGTCCATTGACCTCGTTAGAGCTCTGAGGGCCCGAGGCAATGAGGTCTGGTGCTAAGTGGTCTGGCCCGGGAGTCCAAAGGCTGGCTTTCCCTCTGGTCTTGGCTCTTGCTGTGTGATCTTAATGGAGTGATTTAACCTCTCTGGGCTCAGTTCCATCAGTAAAAGGAGCAATTTGAATGAGAAGCTTTCTAAGGCTCCATTCAGCTCTGGCATTTTGCATGTGGATGAGAGACCAGGGAGGGCGGTTTGGAGGCCCCCTCCTGGCTGCTGGTCGGAGAGATGTGGACCCTCTTCAAGCTAGCTGCCTGCTGCAGCCTCAGAATCATGTCCCCAGAAAGCCAGGGAGCTCAGCACACTCTCTCTAATTAGATAGTGTTCGCTTATCAATTTTGAATGAGATAAGTTTCCATGTATGATGTCCTGAATTGCTCCCCGGAGTGCTCATTAGTCACTTCCCCGGCAGCTGCCTTATTCTCTTCCCAATGCCAGCCGAGGGACCTGGCATTTCCTTTCCCCCAAAATGGGGCACAGGAGGTGGAGCCAGTGACAGGGGCGCTGGCCGGAGGGGCCGTCCAGGCCTGGGTGAGGGCTGTGGGGTGCGATTAGCCAGTCCCTCTGGTGTGGGGTGCTCTTTACCCTCTGATGACCCTGCCGGAGCTATTGCCTCACACCAGGCACCTCAAACCCAGCTCCCTCCAGGACTGGGCCGTGACTCTGCAGGCTGCCGCTGAATTCAACAAGCATTTATTAAGCACCGCGTGTGCCAGGCACTGTGGGTCTCTAACCTGAATATTCTCTAGGCTAGGGGAAGAGGGGTACAAATGAGGTTATACTAATATTAATGTCCAAGTTGCCAACACTGCAGGCATCCCACTCCTCTCAGACTTCCCTAATATGTAAGGTGATTCACGGAGTGGGGCTTCATGCACGCCGGCAGAAAGTTGGCTCAGAATTTTTATTTCTTCCTACCCCCACCCAGGACTGGTGATGGAATCCCTCCTAATGCTGCATTCTCTGTTATGGCCTCCAGGTGACGCTGCGCCCCCATGGTTGAAGCAGACGCGGGGACATGGTGGGGAAGCTGAGAATGTGCTTCCAAAAGGCCTGTGCAATTTTCCCTTCCTTAAGGGATGGGGAACAGGCCTCCGAGGCCTGAGCGCAGAGGCAGAAGAGGACCCTGGGCTGCTGATCCCAGGTCCAGCTGGGCACAGCCCGCAGAGAGGAGACGCAGGAAACAGTCATTTTCTCTTAATTCACCAGGAAGCTGGGTGCAGATGTGAAAGTTTTGAGAAACCCAGAAAATTCAGGGGGAAAAATATCCCACATTTCTCCTCCTATAATTTCCCAGGCATTCGCATCTTTAAATACACTAACCATGATTTCCTTCAACAAAAACGAGATATGCATAATGCATCCCATGTTCTTAAAATACCCAAATGACTTCACACTGGCAAAGGGCGCTTAAAAAAACTGCGTGGCATAGACTTCGCTCATCTCCCCAGAAGCTTCTTGGTGGCGGAGGAGCCCTGCTTTTCCTCGCCCGGGCCAGCTCAGCTCTCCTCTGCTCTGTCCTGTCTCTGCTGTTTGCTCTGCTTCCTGGGCATCAAGCTCCTTCTTCCCCTCTGCTGCCTCTGGGAGTCGACATCACTCTACTTGGCAGTTCTGCCTCTTGTCTGCCCTGTTTGTGCCCTGCCTCTGAGTCTGTGAGAGAGTTTCTCCCTTTGCCCGTGGGTCTGTCTTCCCCTTTGAAGTGATTCTACTTCTGTGA